GGGGGGTAGGGAGGTAACTGCTGATGCATAGGGGGCACATGCACCCCCTGAGTGTTTCAGTGCACCCCCTTAGAAAAGGCACCACCGACACTATAGGCAGTGCCTGTAGACAGTTGCCACTTGCCACCACCCCCGCCGCCAGCAGCGTCTGCGGGCAGTCGGCGATTGCTGCAGATGGTCTTCGGGAGCTGCTGGCTTACTACTGCCGCTCTACTCTGCCAGGTGCTGGGGGCACATGGCAGGGGACCCACCTCTCCTAAGCATCCCCCACACCCAGTCCCCCCATGCCTACCCACACAGTGTGTCTCATCCCTCCACACCCACCCACATCCCCCCCATCACACAACCACCACATCATAAGAAAACCCAAAGTAAACATCAAACCATATAGATATTCAGGATTTATTTTATTATGATGCTAGAGACGCTGGTAGGCTTCCAAATTTCTTCAACATTGTAAATATAGCAATAAGACATTGCCCATCTGATCAATTCCCCCCCCCCACTCTGTTTTGTTCTAACTGTGTAAGAATGTGGGTTTTGGGATATTTTAAAAAGTGAATCTGGGATGATGCTTCAGCAGTCTAGCTGACACAAGGGGCTAGTGTCCCCAGATACCAAGTGGCTGGGCCCCAGAAGCTCCTGAGGGCAAGTAACCCTGAGCTACTGGCCAAGGCAAATTTTTATATTGTTGGGGCCAGGACAGGGCAGCTTTTTATACTGCTGGGGACAGCACAGGTGCTGGCCCCAGGCTCTAGCTCCCCCTGGCTGCAGATCTGGGAGGAGCCAAGCAGGGTTATTTTGCCCCAAGTTGCATAATTTGCTCCACAACAAAGTGCATGTCTGAACACATGCGCTGAGGCAAAAAGCCCCACTCAGATCTGCACAGCTTCTATTTGAGCTGCTGCAAGACCACGTGCTTGCATGTGTGGACACGCCCATGAAGTGCATTTTAAATACATGCGCACATACATGTACCTGCAAATGAGAGATGCATGTTTTTACACACACACCTACTATATATAGCATGGTATGAGCAATGGAGGAAGCCAGAGGGTATGATGTTTTGTAGAAGCTTCCAAAAAAAAAAGAGCCACCCAAAATAATCTTGAAAATGTTTTGTAGCATCCCATTGTTAGCTGCACAGATGTTTATTGATTTCAACACTTCTAAGATTTGAGTATATAGTTAAATTTTGACATCTTAACATAAGCCAATCTTCAAATTGCATCCCAAGGAGTTCTTTTTCATATTTTCCTCCTGATAGAGGTAAATTAGAATTCAGAGTTTTGGAACCAGTGATAGCAACTCTCAGAAAAAGCAGTGTTTACAATAATACTCTCTAAAGGTGACACGCTGATTTCTGCAGT